AAATAGTAATGTATATTATACATATATATATATTAGGTGTGGAGCACGTCGTGATCGTTAAAATAAACGATGATAAATTACGGTTTATGCCTTGGCGCCCGGCGCGATACCGTTTGATTTCAATCAAAATAATAATTATAATATAATATTGAATTTTTATTATCGATCTTTGGTCGTCGCGGCATCTTGCCTGCAGGTCTCAACACTGATGAACGTGTACACACACACATATATATGTATCAAATATAAATAATGATTGATTGTAATTCAATAACGCATAATACCTATGTATAGTCGGCCGAAAGGTCAACGGCTCCTGCGGGGAATCCGGAAGGCGCTGTCCGTTCGCCTTCCTCCGGTCTGTCACTCTTCTGGCGAAGAGTTATATTATATAATATGCGTAAGTAACCGACACATAGCTACCGAGACCGTATATTGCCATACGCACCTATATAAACGTGTTGTATAGACGTGTAGTTATAATACTTCGAAATATAATATATACGCACGGGTATATGTATGCATATTATGAAAATCCACGACGGTCGCTGAATTTCCATTCTCGATTTTGTTACAATATTATTATTCAGTACACAAACACACACACACACACACACACATAGGTGCTCGACAGAATGAAGCACACATTCTTGTGATGTATTTATAGACATTAGCCATCATTTGGCGACAGACATGAGCTAGGCACCCTTGCGAAAAAAAATCAATACATCACCTTTTGGTCTTATCGTTTCACGAGCCTGTCAGAAACATAGATTTAAATAATTATTTTTTTTGAAATTCTTAAGAAAAAAAAAACATGATTTAGTTTCATTTCATTTTCTTATTCGGTAATATAAATGAAATTTTCCGGTCAGGTTTAGATTTGCCAATCTAGAAAATTACCACTAGGGACAACGTTGGACCCACATCGCTGGACGCTTGACCCGATCCTCCTTATACAATCACCCTGATTATATTAAATCATAGTAGGTATACGGCGAGTTAAAATTAATATTGCTGTTGCCTATTATACATACTCAGAGGTTATAGTGGGGAAAAATTCCAGAGGGGACTAATGTCTCCATAAAGTTCTAAGCGTTCCATATATAATTTTAGGGATATAATGTCTAATGCATAAAATCCTAATTTGTTAAAGGGGACGCTTTTTAACCGCCGTCAGAGGTAAGGGGACTGAGTCCTCCTGCGTCCCCCCCCCCACTTTAACCCCTGTACATACTATTGTATGTATTTATGTTTTGATGCGGTACAATAACGCTGCAATAACGACAATAATATGTATAAGACTTACCTATATTATGTATACTTAAGACTTAAGTCTTAAACGCGAGATTAATGTTAATATTTATACTAYATAATACGAGATGATCAGAGACGGATTTACACAATTGCCGCCCCTAGACAAATTTTTTTTTCCGCCCCATTACGACTTAGTAAAAAAACAAAATAACGAAATATGTAATCTATGGTTAGTATTTAGATAATAGATAATATACGTTCCGGCAGTCGTTCGATTATTTACTTGGACGTTTATTGTTATGTATTAGTATTATAAAATAATGAAGAAATTATATTAACAAGAATATTATGTTATACAAATATTAAACATTTTCATTTTCCATCCTTCAAAGTAATCACCGTACATAATAAAATCAAAAAGAAACCTAGAGTATATTTTCAATAAAATATTGGCCTAAAATTGCCGCCCTAGGCAACTGTCTACTTTGTCTGACACTAAATCCGCCACTGGAGATGATGCAATGATGGCCGTGTAATTGATTCGCTTTCTTTAGATAAACTTCATTAATCAGGAATGTGCGCATAGTATTCACATCGATATGTTGTGTGCGATATGTCGTAGACACTGTTTATTTATTTATATTTATAACGATTTACACCTAACATATTATATGCACTCGAATAACCAAATAAACTGTAATSATCATCGCGTAAATACTATAGGATGATATATTATATATATAAGAATTATGTACAAGACATATAATTCGTTGTACTGCTGTGGTGCTACAAGTATTTACGATATAAATTAAGTATTTACGATATAAATTAAGTATTAACGACTTTTAACTGATTTATTTCCGTTTTTATTATATAAGTATGGAATAACGTAAATCTTTAAGCTGGGTAAACAAATATMAAATTATAATATATTCGAGTATAACCTTTGTACAATGAATTATTATAAGTGAATAAGTAATTATAATTTGTCTGCAATAAAGTATATAAAATATTCAGCTTTTATGTTATACATATTGCATTACTGCGGATACTATTATTTTAATAACGATTTAAAAATTATGTGATRCGCACTGTTGTTATAATGTGATGTTTTGAATTAAATACACGATTCTTAAACTATTTTAGTACTTTTTTTTTAYTAACAAAAATTTACCCTCGATTTTGGCAAAGGTCATCGAGTTACATATTATTGTATTACTTATTATTATTATTTAAAAAGGTATACGATATTATAATTATAAATTATAAAAAGTCACTCAATAACATCTCTAATAGTTGACAAAAAATATTTAATGTACCAACAAAAAATCAAATTATACAGTACCTAATCAGGTACCTCTAGCATATTATAATCCCAATGATTTGAAAGAAATTCAATCTCCATTGATTATGTGGTGTACTTACACCACGATATACATTATTTTCATTATTTTTTCTCCGAAAATTCGAAATTCTTAGTACCTAATTCAATTGTATCTTGTCTTTTCAAACTTGTATGTACCTGTTAGATTTCTAATTTACTTATTATTATGCACACAGTCGAAAATCAATAATGTGTCAATATACTCAATATTACTGTTATTTGTTACTATTGTATATCGAAGTAGATTTATATCTATTTTGATATATTGAAGTAAACATTAGTGATAAAGACGACTAATAATCTATAGTTTAAATGTATAATTATTATGGTCGAAGAATCACGCAAATAAGACGACCAACCAAAGATCTAATCTATTTTATTGGCATAATCAGATTTATATTTACCTCAATACTCGGGTTTACTTAAACTTACACGTGTAATTAAGATAAATCTTGCATGAAAGATATAGAAGACATGTTCACATTATAGGCGTATACACTGAATGCGTTTTTAAAAATTATTTTCACAAAAGTAAAAGCCCGCCAATTAAAATAGGTACAACATAATTTACGTATTCCCATGGCAATTATATTTCAAACGCGCGGTAATCTTTAGATTATAGATCATCATTATTAATATGTAACTTAATATAGCTTTTAATTATAATACTGGACGTTTTAGAAAATACACAAATATAAAATATTTAAATTATTATGATTTCTCTCTGTTTTATGTAACATCGGGGTGTAAACATTGTTTATACTTCCGGTTATTGTTTCAGTAACTGCAATCCCTTGATAAAAAAAAAATTGTAAAGAAATATAGATCATTCCTTATAGTATAGATATAGTACAATACTTCAACGAGTATGGTTTAATACTATTGTTATTATAAAAATATAYAAGAAATTAAAATTCAAAGGTAAAAAATACAAGAAGAATATTATTTAAAATTAGAAATCATATTGCAACTATTGATATTATACAATTTTATCATACGAGTATACCTATTGAATAAAATCAATTTATCAAGCGGTTGGTATATATAAATAATAAGTAGATAAATATGATTTCATTTAACATTCCATTCCAAACAACACATTTATATAGATAGGTACTGCCTATTCATCCATAATTCATGAAAAATATGTACTTCTTTTATTTTAAACAAATTGAAATGTATTACTGCTTAGTGGGTTTATTGCACGAGTATTTAATGATAAATAGTTTAAGGTAATATGTTACTCAATAGCTATATATATTAGCATTATACGGTTGACACTTTACACTCGACTACTTGGTTAATATATTTAATTAGTTCAATCATATGTATACGTGTAGGACGTAACGCTCTGAAAATGATAAGATTAAAAATCTAAATACATGTCATTATTTTTTTCAATTAAATAAAACACAAAACATAAAGCTKTATATTTATGTCTAACATAATATTAGAATGTAGAAACTGAAATACGTGAATAACTTAAACACATTTTATACAAATTAGTTATTTGTAATTAAAACATTAATTAAGAACATGGATATCGGTCATAATAACCTGCAGGTAAGTTTATAGCAATATACGTAACCAAATTTGCTATAAATTAATAAATCTAATCATGTTTATATTGGATTATAATACTACAAAACTAATTACTTTGCACGAAAATAATATGTTTGACAAWTTACACAACTATTACACTGTATCAATAAATATCTAGTTATTAAAGGATTTGATTTGCTTTAGTAAATCTCCAAATTTAAATCATTTTTACTTAAGTAATTGTCCAGCTTGCATTTTTACGTATAGATGATTAGATAATAATTTCTTCAATATAATCACACATTTACTTTTTTACTACCTGTCAGTTTAATTTAAAAGCATAAATATTTGAAATATTTTGATAGTTTCGGTATTTATATTCATTAATAAATCGTWAACAGGAGGTATTTATTTATTTTTAATAGGTACTTTTAGAAAATACATAAATCGTAATAGGCCTATAAATCATAAATATGTTTTTGTTAATAAGTAACTATGACAATGAAAATCTCACAAAAATCGATKAGATACAAAAAAACGTATATCCAGCCCAAAATGGTATTTATGTTAAAAAAATAAAAAATAAATTTAAAAATCGTGAAAAAAGCTGAATCGACTGTTTTAATATAAATTTATCCGTAAAATTATTAAAGGTTTTTTTTTTATTATAATCTTAAAATGTTTCAGCACACATGGTGCTATTACAAGTAATAAGTTTTTAACAATTAAAGGTCATATCATAAAGATTACAGTAAAGTTTTCAAATAATACATAAAAAAAAAAATATATGCACATATATTATGCAAACGTTACCAACCTTTCATGAAGTTAACGTCATTTGACCACTTTGATCCAATATGGAAATCCAGGTGTCAGGATATCCGTTATGTATATACCTAATCACTGACGTTAAATTTAAACAATATTTCCTCCATAATTTCGTAATCGAAAATAACAATTAAACAAATTTTTTAATTTTGTAAAAAAAAACACACAWAAAGAACACTACTAAATATTGATGCTTGTTATATTCATACACGTATACGTGTTATCTATTCAACTGTTTTTGATTTCGAAAATCACGTAATTATTGCTTAAAAACATCCACGCGRGACCGACGATCTAAACGCGTGCGACTCGGCGTGATCACTGGCGCGACGCCCTCAACTTGTTCTCTGCCGTGTTCACCGCAACCGACACAACAGACATACCGATTAGACGAGACATGTAGAGCCAGTGGGAGGATCACAGTAGTAGGGCCAGAAAGTGAGAGGACAAGAAAGTGTTCCTTTTTTTATATACTTCTTATAATATGTTAGCGGGATTTTTCGACTGTTCGACACACACTGATGGGGATATATATATATATATATTATATTGTGTAAGTATATACGCATGACGCGACTCTATTGATCTATTAAATTTAGCGTATTTTTCTMAAAATTATTACACAAACGATAACAATGTGCTTAAGATGTTGTTGAACGAGAAAAATTAAAAACGAGCACAGTTTAAGATGGTTTGATAAGTAAATAAATTGGCACCTCGTATACTTCTATACCTAATATAAAATTAAAATATATAACATTTATATATTATTAAATCAATTCGTTCAAGATCAAAGATTAAATAGGTAGGTAAAATTAATACAATAAAACAGTATTAGTCAAATGTGGAATAGATAAACCTAATCATGATTTAATAATRTATACACATGACATACCTACGGTTATGAGTGTTATGACTGTCCCTGTAAATACAGTTTTTTGTCAGATTAATATTTTTTTTGATATTTGATACAATCTTTGAAAATAATCGCTTAATTAATAGAGAACTACACGATTGTTGTTATTTTATAGTACTGTTTTCATCCAATTTCGAGATTAGAACTGTTTTTAAATAATAAAAGCTACAGCCAACATTTATACTGAACTATAATTTATGTAAATATTTTAAATGTTGCARAATCACTAATTTCCATTAAGGTATTCAAATCATTACGTAAGTTCTTATAGGAAGCGGTTGTATAGAGTAGTAGGAGTACGTAGGAATACAAGGACAAATGAGACACCCTGTATATTAATTGCATATGCACACACGACCCGTCTAGAAGTTGTAAAGAAATTTCCTATGTGACTAACTAAACTTTATTCTTTACTTAATATTAACAATATTTATTAAAGTGATATAAAAAAAAAATACACTCGTTCTGTAAAATAGTAATAGTAATGATAACACTTTTTTTCTTGAAATAAAACCTTGTATAAATTTATAATTATCGTACCGAACGTCCAAACATTAATATTTTTCATGTTCAAAAATTCAATAATGAATAAATGACCTACTGATTATTAGTACCTATGGACCTATGGCCCTTGATAAAGTGGATAATTTTAACCTCGAAAAAAATGTAATTAGAAAAATACGTTGTACTTGATTAGACTTGATGACGTTAAAATACATTTCACTACAAAGCRATACTTTTAAGATTTTTGTAGATTAAGTTATTATGGGCGCCTGAAAAAATAACTATAAAAATCAAAATCTTGTTAGTTTCAGATACGAMATAATTTTGAACTTATTTAAAATTGTTCAATATACCTATAATTATATAGCTTTTAATTTATTACTTCATTATTAAATTAAACTAACTAACTTATCATAATTATGCTGTATACCTATTGCTGTGTCAAAGGAATTTCCCGAAAAAATAATMTTGGCCAGATATATGAAAAAATTCTAAGCATGCCTATGTAATTAATAAATAAATTTAAAAAAAAGTTGAAATAGTATTATATTATACKCTGTTATTGAACAAAATTAGGTATCACTATAATAACCATAATGTTCTGATAAAATCAACAGATATCAACATTCTATTTAATTTAGTATCCACACTTAGCTCTTCATTTCAACAACATCTGAGACACGGTCGTATTTTTTTTTAAAGTTTTAATTTAAGGATATGGCTCCTTTTTATGGTTAAATAATCGATTCAATTATTGAAGTAGAATGAAACGATGTGATCGTTAAAGTCTCCWCGTGGCGAGGTATCTAGTATCAGAAAAATTTGTAAAAATTGTTAAGCTCCTATGCATTCATTTTATGAAAATTTAATGTATTGTTGTAATATTAAGGTATAAGTTATGACATATGTATTAGCATAATAATATATGTTATATAATATAATATGAGCAAACAACAATATTTGTTTGTTAATATCTTAACTTACACTGCACGAAATATATTTATTTTTGGATAGGTATTTGATGCTAAATAACCAATTTGTAATAGCGTGAATTAGTTGGTAAATTTTTCAAAATCTGTATTTAATTATTAATTTTATTTTCGCAGTGTAGGTCGGGTATGATTTATTTTGATGTTAAGACTTTGGTGTATCAGAACATATTATCAATTATGATTGAATGAACGATCTTTATATTAACAATATTTTTTAAATGGTGAACGTTTATAATATGAAGTAGTTATTTATTTAAATTAAATTCATGAAAAAAAACTCGATTAAGGCATATCTATGGTAAAAATATCCAATTGCAAATACCTTAAAAAGTAATAACCAAAAGAAKAAATACCTGATGGGTTGAGGAAATAATAGACAAAAGAATAAATGCTTGAATTTCGTCAACCTCAACTTTAAGACGCATGTTTTAAATTTAAATGCCAAATACATGGAAGGGTTTGTTTAAACAAGTTAAAAAAATTATGACTCTTTACATCTTATTATCCCCAAAAATAACTATTTATGGATTTGTTAATCTAAATCTATTATTCTAT